GTCTCTAACTTTGGAACAGGAAGAAGAATTGTTGCATGTGCTGCGAAAACACATCAAGGCGATTGGATTTGGATGGAGAATTGCAGATATAACGGGCATCAGTCTCGCATTTTGCATGCACAAAATTTTTATGAAAGAAGGCCATAAACCGACCATTGAATATCAACGACGTTTAAATCCAAACATGAAAGAGGTGGTTCACAAAGAGGTGATGAAACTTCTTGATGCAGGTATCAACTATCCTATCTTTGATAGTCCCTGGGTAAGTCATGTGCAAGTAGTTCCGAAAAAAGGAGGTATAACAGTTGTCAAAATGAGAAAATGAACTAATCCCAACTCGAACTGTTACGGATGGCGTGTTTGTATTGATTATCGCAAATTGAATAAGGCAACACGAAAAGATCATTTTCCATTACCTTTCATTGACCAAATGCTCGAACGTCTTGCATGCTACTCTTTCTATTGTTTTTTGGATGGTATTCAGGTTATTTCCAGATTCCAATTGCCCCGAATGATCAAGAAAAGATGACGTTCACTTGTCCAAGGGGGACATATGCTTACTGAAGGATGTCGTTTGGTTTATGCAATGCCCCTGCCACATTCCAAAGGTGTATGATGGCAATTTTCTCGGAGATGGTAGTAGTAAATTTGGAAGTATTCACGGATGATTTCTCGACCTTTGGTTCAACTTTTGCCCATTGCCTCTCCAACCTAGCTAAGTTCCTCCAAAGGTGTGAAGAAACAAATCTTGTTTTAAATTGGGGAAAGTGCCATTTTATGGTAACATAATGAATTGTACTTGGCCACCGTATCTCTTCCCGTGGTATTGAGGTGGACCGTGCGAAAATTGAAGTTATTGAAAAACTACCACCTCCTACCAAAGTCAAAGGAATGAGAAGTTTCTGGGACATGCTGGTTTTTACCGGCGTTTCATTAATTAAGGATTTCTCAAAAATTTCTAAACCACTTTGTGATTTGCTTGCAAAATATACAACATTTGTCTTTACAGATGCCTGTTTGCAAGCATTCCTGAAATTGAAGTAAGAGCTCACTTCGGCACCAGTCATGAAGACACCCGACTGGGTCTTCCATTCGAATTAATATGTGACGCAAGTGATTTTGTTGTTGGCGCGGTACTTGGGAAAAAGGTAGATGGTAGGCTACATGCTATCTAATATGCGAGTAAGTTGCTAAATGATGCTCAAACTTAACTACACCACCACTGAAAAGGAATTATTAGCTATGTCTTTGCTTTTGATAAATTTTGATCATATATAATGGATCCAAGATAATAGTCTACACTGATCTTTCAACCATTAAGTACCTCCTGGACAAGAAGATGTGAAGCCATATTTGCTTCGATGGGTGTTAGTTTGTAGGAATTTGACTTGGAAATTCATGATAAGAAGGGTAAAGCAAATTTGGTTGCTGACCACCTTTTCTGGGTTAGAATCACAACCTGAAGTCACTGATCCGGAGATAAACGACTCTTTTACTGATAAACAATTGTTGGTGATACAATACCAAATGTCCACCCCATGGCATGCTGACATTGTGAACTATTTGGTAAGTGGTCCATATCCTCTTGACACATCATACCAACAACGAAAGAAGCTGGTACACAATTCAAAGCGGTATTTTTGGAAGGAACCATACTTGTTCTAACATTGTTACGATCATGTAATTCTTCGTTGTGTTCCAGAACATGAAACTCTGAGCATTCTCACCTTTTTGTCATTCTCTGGAAACAGGGGACATTTTGGTCCACAAAGAACGAATGCAAAGGTCCTTCAAAGCGGTTTTTATTGGCCTAACCTGTTTAAGGATTCTATCAAGTTGTTGCAAATTGTGATAGGTGCCAAAGAACAAGAACGATATCGAGGCGAAATGAGATGCCACAAACAAGCATATTGGAAGTTGAATTGTTTGATGTTAGGGGAATCGATTTCATGGGTCCCTTCCCAATTCCCATCCTCATACTCAACCAATACATTCTGGTGGTTGTCGATTATGTTTCAAAATGGGTCAAGCCACAACCCTGCCTACTAACGATTCAAAAAGTGTTATAAATTTTCTACACAGGCAGATTTTTAGTAGATTCGGTATGCCCAGAGCTATCATTAGTGATGAAGGGTGACATTACACAAGCAAGAATTAAACACTCTGCTTGCCTGATATGGATTTACTCATCTCATGGCGACACCGTACCATCCACAAACAAGCGGCCAAGTAGAAGTTTCAAACTGGGAGCTCAAACACATCTTGGAGACCATAGTTAACTCCTCAAGGAAGGACTGGTCAAAGAAACTAGACGATGCACTCTGGGCATACCGGACAACCTTCAAGACTACATTGGGTATGTCCCCCTATCGTTTAGTATTTGGAAGGCATGTCATCTCCCCGTCGAAATTGAGCACACGTCATTTTGGGCAGTGAAATTCCCCAATCTAGACCTGAAGTTAGCGATGTGAGAAACGTCTACTACAACTGAACGAACTCGACGAATTTTGTCTGACTTCATATGACAATGCTCGAATCTATAAAGACGTACAAAAAGGTGGCACGACAAGCATATTTTGCCACGAGACTTCAAGGTAGTTGATAAGGTATTACCTTTAACTCCTGTCTTAAACCTTTTCAAGGAAAATTAAAGTCTAGATGGTTTGGTCCCTTCATTATTACTCGTGTTTATCCTCATGGTTTTGTTGAATTGAAAGGTGAAAACGGCATATTTAAAGTAAATGGACAGAGACTTAAACCATATCTTTCTGAATTTACCATACCAAGTCCCACCATTGTTCATTTGAAATGAAGAAATGCTGAGTAGTGTCCAGCTAATACGACGTTAAAGAGGAACTAATTGGGAGGCAACCCAAAGTTTGATTTAATTATGTTTTTTATTTTATTTTTTTGTGTTTGTGTTGTTGTGTGCTTTATTCCGAGAACCACCGAGGAGCAAAACATCATTAATCATGTCGTATCTTTTACGAAGGTAAGTCACTCTTCATATCCATTGAGGACAATGTCTATATTAAGTGTGGGGGGAAGTGTTTACAACTGCATGAATATATGATTGTTTCCATTTTGCAAAATTTTCTCGGTTATTCCTGTGAATAAATTGTGTGTTTTTTAATAAAGATAATATATTTTGATACATTATTGTTGTGATTTGGATGTATAGCAACCTATTATGACGATAGAGGGATTAAAAACAATGTGTCTCGTGCTACTCTTCCTTAGATGGCAAAAATTCATAGGAAACTATGTGAGATTTGAGTCTGATCGTTCATTCTTGTGTGTTTAGATCCTCTTTGCATGATAGCTATGCTTGAAAATTGCAAAAATTTGAGTCGTGAAACCACTAATAAGGATGATGGATGCATAGGTTTACCCCATTGCTCAAATGACTACCCGAAACTTCATATTCCCTAGTCAAAACCTGTTGAGACGAGCCTATTTGTTCGGTGACAACTTGTTTTAAACCAATCCTTGTCTTCAAGCCATATTAATTTGAACCATTTTTCAAGGTTCCATTGGAATCCTTTAAACATATGACTTTATGCTTATTATATCAAAATGACTATGGAATGTGAGGAGAAATTGTTTCTAAAAGTTTTGTTCTAAAAAATAAAATTTTGCCACTTAAAATAAATAAATAATACACATATGTATGATAATGAAAAGAAAAGAGTCAGCCATCAATTTCGTGCACTTACAAAAGGAGTTGTTATTCAAAAGCTGAATTTGGCCACCAATTTATCGACATGTTGTCCCGAACAATTACTTAACCGGAAAACTCGGCGATATACCTTTCGAAGGAATAGTGGAAATTAGGTATTGTGCAATCATAACCTAAGGTAATCGTCCTTCATCCTACTTTATAATTTGTATTCTCTACGAAAGTCGTGGAAATTGGATTTTAAAGTAGTACGTGATTTCATCCAGGCCAGGAAAATCATATTTAACAGATTACCTCGATCATAGGATTAAGAGATTAAAATGATTAATAGATATTCTAATAACCTATGATGTTTTATGAAATTCCCGAAAATTGCTCTAGAGCTTTAAACCATAAATTTCTCTACATTTTATTATCTTGTGTTAAATCTATTTCGTCTTTAAATTTAAAACATCCTAAAAATATAACTTGTGAAAAATTGAGATTTTGAATCATTATAAGAGTTGAGATTGGCAAATTTGAGAGAACTTTAGTCTTTGTGGTACGATACTCTACTTGAAACTATACTACTTGATACGATGTGTGTACTTGTAGGAAACTGTGTATAATGCTATTGCAAGTGAGAGGACAATTTTATTTTAAAATACCTCATTTTCTCTTATAGGTTGTTAGCTCTCTCTCCTCTTCCTAATGGTTAGGAAAAACTTAAGAAACCTATTTATTAAACTTATAGGATAAAACAAAGGATCTGACCCGCCTTCTTGGGTAAGTTACAAAATTGTTTTATTTTAGGTAGTTTTTTATAAATGGTTAATTGGAACCTTACACATTCTATACTATTTGTTCAATTGTCGTCAACATAACCCACATCGACTCATCATGCCAAATATTTACTTCAATGCCAAATATTGAGTGAGATATTTGGGTTCAAATAACTAACAATAAGTTATTTGGACACCAAAAATTGTTTGATAACATTTTATTGAAATGAGTTATTTCGGCAGTGAGTTATTTACAAATAACTCAATTATTTATTTGAAATAACTCCTGCCTTGTGTTATTTTGAAATAATTTGTTTCTCCTATGTTTTTGTCAAATACCACATATGCATGGTTTTACCAAACGAGATACCTTAATTGAATTACCACTGAAATACCACATGAATAATTAATGAGTTTCTTGACTCTACAAATACGACATTGATAATTAATCCATCCAAACGACCCATATAAATCCAAATGGGACATATTTGCTCACATACTAAAAAGTATATTATATGAAATGAGATATATAATTTAACAAAACTATGAATTATCAACAAGCCCACTCATCTATTCATTAATAAATAGGTTGTCTAGTTGACTCGATCATTACAATATTGAGACATCTCATGGGCTCAAAACTAATAAGCTCATGAGTTAAACTCAACGAAACACCGAATTGAGGTGAGTCACAAGTCACGAGTCTCACGAATTCAAAAAGACTTAGCTCAAGTTCGAATCATTAGCAATCGAATCAGACTCCGAACGAGCTTTTTCTCAAATCAAATATCACTCCGCTCATGAACAGCCTAGCTTATATGATGCCCTACTTGAAATACGCTGATGTGGCCAAACTCATTGATATTAGTCCCAAACTCATAAAAAAAAATACAACATCCCACATAGAGATTTTGCAGCGTTCTTTTGATCGAACGGCTTGCTAAAGTAAGGTCCAGGACAATGGAAAGGGTGGTGGTCTGGTTCACCGGTCATGAGGCAGACTGCTGCTGCAATCGTCTGCGAGCGGCAGCTTTTTCAAGTGCCTTCAACCTGTTTGCTTCAATACGAGCTCTCTGTTCTTCTGTGATCTCAGCAGCTTCATTCCTGCTGCTGGATCCATTGTTATCATTTACTTGGGGCCCACTCCCCGACCCTGTGGTGCGAGATGGAGGCTGCAACAATGTAAACAGAATATATGAGATCAATATATAGAGCAGCGGATATTAAGAAACACTTTGAGAAGGCATCAAATCGCATCACAACATTATTGAGTCCCATCAACTAAAGGCCAATTTTTTTTTAGCTTTTCTGGATGTTTTGTGTCATTACAGAATTTAAGGGCCTGGGATGGGTAGCACCAGATAGAAAGTTCCGTTTACAGCAGGCAAGAGAATTTGAGATTCCTCATCAGGTCTACTTGCAGATCAACAGAAGCCAGGATATTGAACTAGTGGTAGGCTTTTGCCCTAAGCTATAATACATGTCATGCAACCCTGTGTGACACTAACAACTACAGAGATAGTAGACACCCAAAAACCCAACGAAGTTTGGGGAAAATGGGACTTACGTCAGTAGCTCTTTCGTAAATGTCTTGAAATAGGTCTTCTTCCACAGCTTCAGCCCCATGGTTGCCTGAAGATGGTTGTGCCTCACAATGAAACCCCTCAGAATTCATGCCTTCAGCAGGAGTTGAAAGATCTATGCAAATTCAATAATAAACATGAATGAGCTTATAGGAAAAGAAATACAATTGAATTGAATGATAGAATACAGCTACATCTAACACATTCAAAATGAGTGACATGGTCAAGATACCTTGTTCATCTAGATTATCATTCTCGGCCGGCGATTCATGCAACTTTGTTGGATCCCCCCCACGGGCAACTTTATCTCTTATAGCTGAAATACATGTCTGTTCACAACAGAGCAAAAACACGAAGATTCAATTGACTTGGGCATCATTTTGTACATAAAATATATGCATACTGTCCATTATATGTATCTGTAGTTCTGTACACATATTTCCTGCAATAATAAGCCTCCTGTGCAAGCAAGCAAATTATGTGAATAGCAAAGATAGAAGAAACCAGCCACATTAGAAAAAGTGGAAATGCATGTCATATTAAATACTGACTGAAACAATATTGGTGAAACGTAAGGGTCTTCTCCAATCTCCATGTTTAGAGGAATGCAAACCCACAATCCACGAACTCTTCATAATATAAACAAAATAATGCAACTTTGGCAGTAATATCTAGGCTCCAGCATAAAAAATATGCACATTTATTTCTAAGAACTTGGGAAGTCGTGGATCAAGAGAGCAATTCCTCACTTTTGGGTAGTCACCATCCTAACAATTAGTGGTAGCAGGTTTATTTTTTGGTGGTTTTGCCCTTTAAACTGAACAGAGCTACTGTAGTCTGTACATACGGCAGTCTTTAGAGGATAAGCATGCATTCTGGAGAGGGAACGACAACTTAAGTCAAATGAAATGAGACAAGTGAATCAACTGTTAAGACTTCAACGTTCACAACTTATTTGGCCAACTGTTCACATTCAGTTACTGGAAAGCATGCTGTGTGTCTACACAGCAATGAACATATTTGGTGTAAAGACCAAAACGAGTGGCAAGACCAAGTGCTTCTTCTAGTTGTAACTTCACTTATCAAGCCCTATTACCCTCATTCAAAGAGCTTAGAACGGTGTAAGGTATTCCTGATTTACTTATATCCTACTGTGATGTAGACCAGTAGTAAAGGGACCTGCGTTCGGTCGACGATTTATTGCTCACATATATTTGGTAAGCTTGCTTGGTCAAAAATGATAATCAATGAGTCTCTCTGAAGTATCCAAAGAGCAGAAATACATCATTCACTCCAACACTTCAAAAGTTACGATGCAAAAAGGCCAAACTAGATAGCTCTTCTAACCTTGACACGCCTTGAAGCAGCCACTCGTTCCACCCTCTGTATGAACTGATCGAATGAATAGTACGGGAGGAGACGTTCATGCCACTCACTGTATAAACTAAGCAAGTGCCCCAAATCGCTAACCTGCATAATCACAGTTACACGATAGCTTCAAAGGAATGACAGATAATAACAACGGATGCAGAGCACAAACTGGAAGGTAACAAAATATTGTTTGTTTTCCTCCCTATTCCCCGCCATATAGTAAAGTAACAAGCAATCTATTGGGAGAATCTGAATCCAAAGAACCAAGTTTTGTCAAATCTAACCATCATGTCTTCAAATCGGAAGTTTAAATTTCACAATCGGAAACTGTGAAACGCGCAACCGCGACCCAAGTCGAAAACAATAGAAATGGAATGAGAACCAGATAAGGAGAAGCCATACCTCGCGCCCGCGGCCACGGTACTTGAAGTTTTTGGGGAAGTAGCGGAGGATGAAGCCGAAGCCATCGTCGGAGAGAAGAAGGTCGGGAGTGAGCTTCGGCCTGGTTCTGGGGACCTTCTTTGGCTTCGGCGCGAGAGGTGGTTTGCCGTTGTTGCCGAACTTCGGGGGAAAGGATCTGGTGAAAGAATTGTTGCTGGGATTTGAACCAGAAGTTGGGGGATTAGGGTTAGGGTTCGATTGAGAATCGGGGCAGTCACGGGACCAGTGGCCGGGGCGGCCACACTTGTAGCAGCCTGTTGGAGCTGCGTCAGCCATTTTCTCTGCGCTTTGAAGTTTTGACTCTCCTCTTCTGACTTCTCCGCTATACTGCGGTTTTCTTCAACTCCAGCAAGAGCTTTCACTGTCCCCGTTGCCTCCCTTTTTTGGCTTGGGCGGGAACACGTTGGAGGGAATGGGACGGGAAACCAATTTTCTTTTTGATAGTATACTATTGAGCCCGCCTAGATTTGGAAAATTAGAATTCTGACGCTACGTTTGGCAACGAGGGTGCAAATTATAGGAGGGAGCAAATTATAGAAGGGTGCAAATTGAGGTGCAAATTGTTGTTTGGAAGAAAAAGTAGGAAGGTGCAAAATGAGGTGTAAAATAACAATTTTAATATAATAATTATTATTATAATAGAAAAATAAAAACCAAAACTAAAAGAACCCCACCACCTCTCTCTAATCTTTCCCTCCCTCGGTCCCACCTTCCTCTTCATTCCATACATCTCACGTCTACCCCACCTTCCACCCTTCCTTCTTCTTCTTCTTCTCTTGCACCCCATTTTGGGGGTGAAGGAGAATAGTAAAATTACCCCTCCAATGCACCCCTCAGCTACTATTGTTAAAGATCCAAATAGGTGCATTTGCATTGGGATCCTTCATTACCCCTCAAAATATGCACCCTCCTCCACTTCCCCCTTCTCCCAAACAGAGTGTGAGTAAAATAATTTTTTGGATTTTTTATGGATTGTTTGTAACATACTGTTTAGTATAAATGAATTCCATAAGTTTTTATGAAATTATTTTGATATGAAATCTTTTTGTGTTTGGTATTTAAAAGAAATCATTTTCAAATCTAAATTTTGAATTCTACGGAATTGGAACTAGTTATAGCAATTCCGAGGAATTGAGATAGAATTTCCAAATGAATTCCGCACGTATTTACTAATTATAATAGAATTATATAGTTACCTTCTTTTATTAACTAAATTGCTTATACATATGACATAACAAACACAAGAATTCATTTGACAATGAATTCTACACGACACTTCATTTTATTTCTAAAGATTAGAATATAACATACCAAACATAGGATTTCATTTGACAATGAATTCTACACGGTAATTTATTTTACAATGAAATGAATTCTCGATTCATTTAGTACCAAGCGGTCTGTAAAATGTATTTGAAGATTTCATTGTTTGTTGATATATTTATAATGGATTGGATACAAAGATCAATTGTCAGCCGTAATTTTTTTCCTTCACCAAATTCCAACATAATATGTGAGCTTTAAAAGTTCGTGCAGTACATAAATTTGGATTCGAAAAAATGATAAAATCCATGAACCACACAAATTTGACAACAATCAACAAATAATAAATTTAATAAAATTGAACCCATCAAACTTGGGATTTGGATAACCAATCAATGATCAGGAATCCAACAAGCACACAACCTCTTTGCACCATGTCTTTTAAGTATTGTTTTTGCTCCATGTTGCCCACTTTAAAAAATGTTGCAATTAAACCATATAAATATGTTTTATGTTGCATTGTTCAAATTTCGTCTCTTAAGTTAATGATAGGTACCAAATGGTAATTTTTCATCACATGTGAGCTATCCAACTTAGTTTAATAGCTGAGTTAGATGGTGGGCGTGCTAAATTTCGTGTCCCGTATTCAGATTTCTCCTCTGAAACCCCTCTATCGCCACTGTCCCTTACCGATTTCTTTATCCTCATATCCATCCCTCACCACTCCACTTCAGGAAATGCAAATACAAATATTTCAGCTCGCCGCAAGCGTTGAAAATGCAGTCGTCGTTGACCAAGTTCGACACCGGGCCTTTCATGAAGAACTTCAAACAAGGATTCCTTAAAACATAATGACGAGTAAGGAAGTCTTTGAACGCTACTAAGTCTAAATACTTGAGTACCACTAATTTTGAAACAGTGGTTGGTGACTAACAAGAGGAAAGCGTCGGAGGAGAAAAAGGTAGACCAAGGGATTTAGAGGTGGTGGGTGAGGATAGGATTCCATAGGATCGAGAAAGAATCATAAATGATGGTGATGGCAGGTCTGGTTGGGAATTGAACCATCCTACAATGGGGGAAAACAATTTGTGGATGGCAATGATGATGGCAAGTTGCAAGCATTGCCAATTATTATACGTTCTCCAAGCAGCAGGGGGAGAGGGTGGGTTGAGAATGGGAAGCCTAGGAGATTCAGGAGGAATGGTGAGGTCATCAAAGACAAGCCCATAATATCACAAGAAGATCCAATTACACGTCTTAAGTATAAGAAGTTAATGGAGGAATTTGCTAGCTATTTGGATCATTATTTTGATGATATAAACGTGGACCATTGTATTGCTACAATATGTGGGAGAAGAACAAAGGGAGAAGATGGGGGTTGGGAGATGAAATGGAGAAGAAGGATGCGAAGGGAGATCGAAGAGAGAAGAGGTTGGTGGATTGAATGGGCTTTTGAGGGTTCCTTAGCTGAAAAAGGAATACAATTTCCTTAACCTAGAAGCAGGGGCGGAGCCAGGATTTAATCATGGGGGGGGGGGGGGATTTTTTTAATACGTTACAACAAAAGAGGAAAGTCATTAGTCGAATTAGCTAATAACTAGCTTCAAAAAAAGAAAGGAGAAGACTACTGCTTACTAAAAAGAAAAAAATTGAAAAATATGCTCACCTCAAGAATCGAACCTATGACTATTAGGTCCTTCTACATTGCCAATTCCGCTAGCCCAATTCAGATTTTATGTTATGATCTGCACGCTTTTTACTTTTAATCAATACTTTCTTGTTTATACGTATTATCCTAAACCGTTTACAGGTAAGTTCGAGATTCTCGGGGGGGGGGGGGGGGGGGCTTAGAGCCAACGTAGCTCCGCCCCTGCCTAGAAGAAGATCATTCATTTGTGAAAAAGGACTGTGATTCTTGGATTTGTTTAAGTGCTTTATTGCCTTCTTTGTTTGTTTTGGAGTTATGTATTTAGTCTATAAATAGGGGCGAGTTCTTTATTGTAAACCATTCAAGTTTCATTCAATCAATTAAAGAGTTCTACTTGAGTTCTTTGTGAAAGTTTTGTGCAACTTTCTGTCGAGGGATTTTTAGGAGGTTCACGTGTCTCTTATCAACTAGAGATTACGTCTAGTTTTGGAGATGTTGATGATTCAAGCAGATGTTGAGGAAGATCGTGAAGCCACCATTTCACGGTTCTTGCAAGGTCTTAGTCGAGAGATCAAGAATGTGGTGGATATCCAACCTTTTGTTGAGTTGGATGATCTAGTGGCAATGGCTGCCAAAGTCGAGAGTTGATTCAATGCTTTGTATCGACTGAGAACCTCATTCGATAGAGGGAATCTAGTTCAGAACGCCTTGATTGGTTGTTCTAGAGAAGGATACGTCCCTCTAGGCAATTGACTCAAGAGGGCCTTGTTCCTTTAGTCGAGACTCAGGGTCTAGTCAAGGATTCTCAGCATTGTGAATGAAAGTGAAACAAGTTAGAAATCATCAATCATTAATCTGGCTAGTGGCTAGGGGGAATCATACCTAAGTGAGTTCCCAACCTGTAATTAGATTAACTTTAACTGTAACTTGTTAGAGTAGTTTTAGTTCTTCCATCTTAATCTGGTTTGCTAGATAATGAACTGAAGCTGAGTAATAGTAACTCTAGAGACCCGTGGATTCGATATTTATTACTTGAGCCACTATACTGCAGTCCCTTTCATTGGTTACACTTGGCCATTGTTAGGTGTTGTGTCATAGCGAGTCAAGTTTTTGAATCCCCCCACACTTAACCGTTTGCTTGTCCCCAAGCAAACCTAACTCAAACCAATCCAACTCTCCAGAACTCTATAGCAACACACACCCTCGATCGTTGATAGAGGATTTTCTAGATCATTTAGCAGCTTACGAGGTCAACCGACACACAAGTCATCTCATAGCTTCTTCGGCGAGAACGCTAGTCTCGAGTCGACATCATGGTAAATAGTGATCAGAGGACAGATGAATCGTGGACGAAAAGACTCTCAAAAACAAAAGATCATGGACTCACATTTTTCAAGGTGCTCTTATTTTATTTTTGAAGACGGTTGGAACCCCTTTTTTCCTTTTCTTTTGTTCTCTTTTTTTTTTCTTTTTTTTTCCGAGGGTTCCAACCCGATTTTCAGAAAACGGGGCTCCCACCTAGCAAAGGTTTCGCGGGAACCCGGCTCTTACCGGCCATGCCGGGAGCGAATGTCTCGAGCCTCGTGCGGGGGAAAGATATGTAAGGGGGCTGGAGGTAGTAGGTGGAAATTGGGAACGGATTCCCGTCTCCCCTTACACACTTTCGCCCTATTCGCACGGGAGACGTTATTGTAAAGCACATTTTCGAGGACCTTTTATTTCAAAACATGATACAGAATTCCATGACAGGTAGAGAGTCCACAACACCACACCATTCAAGGGTCCTAAGATCACTAATTCACACAATCAACCAACACAATATGAAGAAGAAACGAGGCTTCTTAAATGCATCAACATCCTCCATAGTGCTACACTACCTCCCTAGATTGCACATTACTATAGAGACTGTCAATTCAAAGCATACTGAGCAGGCAATTGCAAGGAACACGTACTTGGAGCCCTCAAATCAAAATTTGGACAGTGGACTAGGCTCCAAGCACACAAACAGCCAAACATTCACACGCATTCATAATCGAACATCCCCCCACACTTAAGCACGACATTGTCCTCAATGGAGGAAAGATAAGGAGGGTAGAACGAAGTTACCAGATCAACGGTGAATGATGGTGGACGGGGCAGGCGGTGCATTCCAGGAGGAGAGAGTAGTCGGAACACAAACACCACACAAAATCTCACAAAGGTTGAGTTATTGACTTGAAAATCAAAGAACAAAACTGACTCAACCGAAGAGAAATAGGGAAAGAAATGCAAACCGACTAGTTGGGTTGCCTCCCAACAAGCGCTTCTTTCACGTCGTGAGCCGGACGATGGCTCCTAAGTTTCGGTCCACCCCAAAACCTCCTTGAAGTTGAGGTTCTCGTCGATGAGGTGGAGTCTCAAGTCACGAACATGTGGTATGACAGGTGATGGAAGCTCGTGCACTTGATGCAGATGAAGTCTCCACCCTCGAGACCTCTTCTTCTCTTCTCTCGTCTCATTGCCCCAAATTAGATATGACAGCATTGATTTACCACCATCGCGTCCACCAAG